AAAATTAATGTGACCTTGACCTGACCTTCGCTACGCAACCCAAGGTCAAACTGATGTGATCAGTAAATACATCTTTTTAAACGCCACAACTTTTGTCTGAAACATTTTTTTGTAAAACTTATATTTTTCCTGATATTCGGGCGTCCCGGTACTTTCCGAACACCCTGTATAACACTTGACAGCTTGACAGCAGCCATATTTTTTCTATGGCTACGTTCCGAAATTCACTGCCAGTACTGAAAATCTATAGTTTATGTCACGTATACTATAGAATTTCAGCAGTGAATTTCGGAACGCAATACCATAGAATGAGAAAGCACTAGAGCAAATTTCTCACTCTGTTTTAAACTGCCAACTTCTGGCTTCACTCGTGTTACAGCAGAAGTATAGGAATGCTTGGTCTATGTCATTGCTTTGCACATAGAAAAATTTTAACCGTAAGATCGTAAGAAAACCAATCACAGTCGATTATTCCTTGGACGCAAGGAGAATAATCAATTCTGATTGGTCAGTTTTCTTACAATTTTACGGTTACGGTTACTTTTCTACGCGTAAAGGGGCGCCGCACACGAATTGACATAACAGTAACGTAAGCATACCGTAAAAATGGACCAATTACAATCGAGTATTCACAAAAATGGCGACCTTACGGTTCGACAATATTCAAAGTGATTGGTCAATTCTTAAGCTGGCCACACACACTTTCCGTAACAGTAACCGTAAAGCGTCTTCTACAATGGCAGTAGGAGTAGTAGTAAAAAATAAGCAGTAAGCAAATTGATCAATTCTATTCTCACGTTTCAAAAATAATCGATTGTGATTGGTTTATTTACTTACTGCTTATTTCTTACTACTACTCCTACTGCCATTGTAGAAGACGCTTAAGGGCTATCGCACACAAATTGACATAACTGCATATGCATAGCATAAGACCTTATGTACCAATGAGCATCGAGTATTAAGTCGCCATATTGGTGTTCGATGCTTAATATTCGATGCTCATTGGTCCATACGATCTTATGCTATGCATATGCAGTTATGTCAATTTGTGTGCGATAGCCCTAAGACGTAACGTAAGAATTGACCAATCATGTTGAGAATCGTCGAATTATAAGATCGCCATTTTGTGAATACTCGATCGTAATTGGTTAGTTCTTACGTTACATCTTACGATTACTTAAGTAATAAAGTAATAAAGGCGCACTTTGTTAGATGGCGTCTCGAAAATGCTCCTAGCTCTGGCCATTAAAATTAGGCTGGTGGTCGCTCTCATGCTTCTCTCTGATTTTAGCAAGATAAATGTCACACTTGTGACATCTGTACTTGAAACTTCGATTCAAAAAGTTGAATGATGGAATCGGTAATAAAAACTACTGTGGATAATGAGAACGGAACCTAGTGACGTTTCTTTGGACACGTCGTCCAACGCGTCTCCACGTCTCTTTTTACGCAAGCGCGATACTCGCGCACGCCATTGAATCTTAACCAATCTTAACTCTCGTAACAGTGCGTGAGACAGGTTGAGCGGCTGTTTGCTGAATTCATCGATATTCGCAAATCGTAAGAAATGTCAGGAAAATCCAAGGCGTTTACTAAGGAGGAGGAACTATTACTACAGGATTTTTCCAGAAATGTCTCGACAAAATCCTCGGCGTTGTTCTACGGAAACGCATTTATCGTCTCAGCGATACCCATCTGTAAGTACACAAGCAAAATTTGATAACTGTAAATTTAAGTCTGTTATTCATTTCTTTTTCACAAATATAATTTACACAATTATTAAATCATATCTTACATTTTTATGGTCGGTTTTATTACTGCAAATAAATTGTAGTTATTTAACAATATAAGATGTTTTAATGTTTTACACAGAATATTTTCCTATTGATTTTGACAAAACTTCACTCGCGTACATGTTTTAGTATTTAAGAAAATAATAATAGAGATTACAATTTGACTGTGAAAATAAAAGTAATATCTTTAAGAAGTTTATCATACAGGTCTCGTTACAATAATTCTATATAATTATATATAATTTGTGAAGAGTATGATTTTTTATTATAATTTTCATTTCCTGATTACTAAATGTTAACAATAAATGCTGGGCAATTAAACAAATGGATTAGAAACATATCCTTATGTTTTATATTAATCATATTATTATGTATGTTTCAGGGTTGTTTTGGAGAATACACTTGATTGATCTATATGCCAACTTAATTTCTTTCATAGGAATTACATTAATAAGCACATATGCTCTTGCATTAGCATACAAAAATACAAAATTTATTCTCAAACATAAGGTGTGTATACATATACTTTGGAAAATAATTTTTTCCTATAAAGTTATCACAGAAAGTTGCTTGTTAAATATGTAAATAAATCTTTTCATAATAATTTCAATTGATATTGTTTAACAGACTTTTTGCATGCCTAATTTATTGAAGAAATAATCTTAACAAATAACATAATAGCAATAAGAATATTCTATATATATATATATATATATGTGTGTGTGTGTATGTGTGTGTTATATAGATTGCTGTAAAAAGAGAAGATGCTGTAACAAAGGAAATAAGCCGTAAGCTTGCAGAAGACAAGAAGATGAGCAAGAAGGAAAAGGACGAAAGGTAATATACTTTGCATCATTCTGAAACTGAAGTAGTCAATGAAAAGCTTGCGCACAGTAATATATACTACATATAGAATTTAGAGTCAATTTTGAAATTACATATTCCACTGTGTGTCATTTCAAACTTATAAACTTATATCAAATCACAAAATGGATCTACTAATTTATATTGTATATAATTTTTCAGAATTTTGTGGAAGAAGAATGAAGTGGCGGATTATGAAGCAACAACGTTCTCTATTTTTTACAACAACGCTCTTTTCTTGGCGCTTGTTATTGTATCTTCGTTTTACATTCTGAAAACGTTCTCACCCGCAGTAAATTATGTACTTTCTGTAGGAGCTACTAGTGCACTTTTAGCATTATTATCGACGGGATCTCAGTAATATACACATCACGGTATGTTTTGTTATCTAATTTCATAAGAAATTTTCAGCAATGTTTCATCTTTTTCATATGAACAATTATAAATTATGATATAAATTATGGTAATAAATATATTTCTACTTAGTATAAAAAAAAAGTATAAAATTCAACAAATTTAACTAGCACCTCGAACAAAATTATCTTTAGTTTAATAATGTTACCTCACATTTGATAATATTGTCCTTATTTTTTTTTCTCAACTTCCTTGAATCCTGGATTCCTGACATATCATATTCATCTTATCTTTACTATAATGCATTGTTTATTATGCATTAGTTATTTTTTATTCTAACAATCTCAAGAACTGGAATCTCCAGAAATATGTAAATTATATTAAATTAAAATAGTTACATAAGAATAATTACAACGCTAAATGATATTAATATTTATGACCTAAAAAGTAAAAACGCTTTTAAATTATTCACAAAAGCAATTATATATATTTTTTTAATAATAATTAGTTAATTAAAATTAATTATTTTAGTTATTAATACTAATTGGAATTATTATGAGAAGAAATATATGTATTATATATATACAGGTTGTCTCATAACCACCGTAAGCTATTTTAATAACGTATTCTGAAGATAAAGTAGAGTAAAAAATCCTTATACAAAAATGTCAAGGCTACAATAGTTTTTTAATTATAACTGATCAAAAATTATCAGTAATATCATGTAGAATTTGCACGTTCAAGCATTAGTTATACAATACACATATCGTTTTATCATTTGTTATCGACTTCACAGTTAATATTGATTTTTACTACACAACTGATTCCTAAAAACATTAATAATTATTATTGTTAGAATTATTAAATTTAATAGTTTCACACTTGAGAAATAAAGATTTTTGCGTTTTTGACATAAAAAGTAATCATGGAAAATAATTTATTATTATTTTTGTTCTTTACATTTTATAAGGAGTGAAATCATATAATTCTAATAAATCGAGGAAATAAGATTAATTTGTCCCCATTTCTTAAATAATTTAAATTTTTATTATTTTAGTTCGGATCTTATAATTTCAGTATATCAATATTTTAATAAAAACTTAAATTGTTTAAGTACTTGTGTACAGATAAATTAGGTAAAACTGAACAAAATATTTCTCTACCATTTTGCGAACAACCTCGTAAAATTTTAAATTATTAATCAGAGAAGTTTGTGGATGATTACGCGCCATACGATAGATTAGGTATGATGACGTTTGTTGCTGTATGCTTGTATATCAAACTGAACTAAAAAGTCCTCTCCCCCTACCATTTTCCAAATGACCACATACATATTTAATTATTAATTAAGGCTCCTGGGGAGTCGCATCATCCATCTCTTTTTAATGACGTCAGAAGCGAGAAAACGCATGCTAAAAATTCCTGCAAAATACGTCGAGATAAACAGATATATCCACAAAACGACATTTGCGATCGATTAAGTACATCTCTAAAATACTCCGTACACTTTCCTTTTGTTCTAACAATCAACAGATAATTATAAAATAAATGTGACGTGCAATCGTCTTTTCTAACCTAATTTCCTCATTATCTTGTCATATTAATTTTCCGATTATCTATTGATTTTTAGAACAAAAGGAAAGTGTACGGAGTATTTTAGAGATGTACTTAATCGATCGCAAATGTCGTTTTGTGGATATATCTGTTTTGTGGATAGATCTGTTTATCTCGACGTATTTTGCAGGAATTTTTAGCATGCGTTTTCTCGCTTCTGACGTCATTAAAAAGAGATGGATGATGCGACTCCCCAGGAGCCTTAAAGAAGTTTGATATACATTATGCGCGTTAATGCACCATTTTTTTTTAATTAAAAACTAAACATGTACATAGTAATTTGGAAAATGATAGAGGACTTTTTTGTTCAGTTTGACGTAATAATACTTTATTACTTCAGCTTACAATGCCAGGAAGGGACTTGGCTTACATTTCATCTACCATTACATTCACACTTATTCACACATCTATTCCTAAACAATCTCCTTCAACATTCGCCTCTTATCACATTTTTACTCATCCTATAAGTTTGACTTAATATACAAGTATATAGCGGCAGACGTCGCTCATCTATCGTATGACGCGTAATCATTTACGAATTTTCTTTGATTAATAACTTAAAATTTTACGTGGTTGTTCGCAAAAAGTGGAGAGGAATTTTGTGTTCAGTTTGGCCTAATCTACCTGTACACTGCGGTTCTTCTGTGAATTATCGGAAATTCTGTATATTATAGATAGATATAACATCATCGAAACTTGTATGATACTTCATAAGTTACTTCATAAGACGAAAACATTTTTATCCGATATGGTTCAAATAATGATCTATGGCTTTACAAATGACTAGAGTTCTTCCCCTTCCAGAATATGATAGATGTTGGCTGCACGTCGTGTGATCGACATATGTGAAAGAGAAGGGTAGACTAGAAACATGCGCGCAGTTGGTATAAGTTGTCAGTAGCTCAACAGCTTTTGAGTTGTTCGGAATACTACAAGTATCTACTATTTCATCCTTATCTGCGGACTTTGAAGCGTGGGTTTTCATTAACTGAGCAAACGAGAAATCGATTTGAACCATCGGGTAAGCGAAAAATAGAGAAGAGTAGATGAAAGAATAAATAATGTTGGAGAGAGATGCGAGTTAAAATACAATTCAACAAATGAGTTTTGGCTTAAGCTTGTAAATTACACAACCCTTTGATTTTTTTCGTTTTAAATACGTTCCTTAATTGGAATGTATAATTGCGTTATGTTTTTCTTTGTTTCAAATTATTTTCTCTAAAGTTGCACATTTTTTTTATTAGACCTTCACTTTTTTAACGCTGTCCTTTTATTACATATTAAAAGCTGCATTTCGAAATTTATTGCCAGTACTAGAAATTTATAGTTCATGTTACGCATACTATATAATTTCAGTACTGGCAGTGAATTTCGGAACGCAGCCAAAGGAAGGAGAAACAATTTCTTTCATTGTTACATTTCATATTATTAATTAAGTTTTCCGATTGAAAATACTTCGATTTTCTGTTATTTCTATAAATTTCTTTTACATACGCATTGTACGCGCATTGTACGTGCATATGATGTATGTAACGAGCATTTTGATTCAAAAATTCTTCAACGTTGACAAATCAAAGAGGCCATTGCTTAATCAGGCATGTAATCTGCGCCTGATATAAATGCTTGTAAACAATTTCTTTTATTTCTAAGTTTTGCTTGCTCTTTTACAACTTCGTGTTTCAGGATTTTAGGAAAGAAAAGGAACAAAAATAACGTGAGATTTCGAATTCGAATATTATATAAGCATCTGAATATAAATTGCGCTAACATTTACACAACACGAGAAATATTTGTAGTTTTATTTAAGTCACATAAAGCTTGATCGTAACTCTACATTTGGCGGTTGTATCGTTAGGAACTCTAAGTTAATTGCCGTGCATAGCGAAATGGATTATGACGGTTATAGTACGATAATATAATATTAATGTAAGTTACTTCGTCGCAACTGACCGTCATGTGCATATTCCAAGCACTGCGAATGTGAAAAGTCTCGTGCAAAGATTCGTCTATTGACAGCCGTATAACTCGCGCAGATAGAAAGACGAGAGAAGGATCGATCGACATAAAAGAAAGGGGCCTAAGGGAAATAAGATAAAAAGATCACATAGCAACGTTAAAAAAAAGTGCATATATCGCAACGTTAAAAAAAAGTATATATATTACAAATAATATACGTACATCGTATATTGGAACATCAGCGAAATTTCAATGTTGTTATTTACTGCGCCGAGTTTGACTCACGGTTGTGTTATAAATACATTTTAGATTCATGTCAAATAAATTATATATTCTTATCAATAATTATATGTTGATGTCGCTTTTATGCAATCATTAGCAAGAAATACGTAATGTATAGTTCTAATTGTAAATGTCATCTAATGACGAGAGAACCTGTTGATCGAATTTAATAGTACGCTGCCGCATATCACTGTGCTGCGCGTTATACGGAGAACAAACTGCAAAGAAGTATAAAATAACGATCTCGGACGCAAGATGACTTTGCATTTCACTGGTTCTTTCGCTGTTTTATCATGGCAGCAAAAGCAGGGGAAGATAAACTGATGAATCGCCAGCCACATTATTTTCGCGCCATTCAGAAACGTTATCAACGTTCAAAAGTGTTATTATATTATTACGTGTTGAATGGATATCGTGTAAATTTTAATAAAAGTTTCCTCATTATCGTTCGAACGTCTCGCAGTTTTATACGCGACTATAAAAATGAAAATAACGATCCTGCGGTGACGTGGTATTTATTCCGAGGAAAACTTTTAGGGACAAAGTCTGAGATGTATCTCGTCACATATGAGTTTATCAAAGTAATGATGTGACTCGAAAGATATAAATTCAATGCAAATAAGAATTTATATATTCGAGCTGCTTTTTAACCGGATTTTTCTGCTTTTGCGTAAAACGCACATTGACGACAGAATCTTTTTATCGCACTTGAACCTCAGATAGAATACTTCGATATCGCGTTTAGTACCGATATTCACCTTCATAATATTTATTCATTTTTCACGCACAAGAATGTCCGTAATACGTTACGTTAACTTAAGAATAAACTTATGCACAAAGAAATCCGTTATGAAAGTCCTTTCTTACGTTACGAATTTCTTTGTGCGTTGACATTTTATTCCTAAGTTTATTCCTAAGTTAACGTAATGTGTTTAGACATGTTCGTGTTTTCAAAAACGGAGGTCCCTATTTGTCAATGAAAAAAACTTGCTTAATCCGGGTCACACTACTATTGGAGAGAGAGGATTGCGATTTGAAAATTAAAACTTTAAAACCATTTATTTCAATTAAAATTAATTGGAACAGGCCAAGGTCGAAGTTCGTTCATTAGTCGAAATGTAATCTTTAATTCATATCCCAGATAGCATTTACAAAATATTTTAGAAATATAGATATTAAATAATTTATAAATATTCTAATGTCCGAGATTTTCAGGTATGAAAATGATTATGATAAATATTTAAAAATATTTATGAAAAATATTTCTCATAAATCTTTCATAAATCATAATCTTTTTCATAAAAGTATTTATGAAAAATGTTTTTCATAAATATTTTTAAATATTTATTATAATCCTTTTTATATCTGTGAAAAATCTCGGACATTTGAATATTTATAAAATATTTAATATCTATATTTCTTAAATATTTTGTAAATAATGTGTAGTGTCTGGGATTCCTTTATCTCCAACTTATAATATAACACAAGCTTTACGCTATTGAAAAGAAACACAAGCTGTACTGCAATATTTCTGGAGTACGGTAAGATTTGAGATTTGTGTGTGTATGAGATATCATAAATAGGTTTTAAACTTCTATCCCCCAAAATTGAAAGTAAATATCATAAATTCCATATTTTACATATTTTACATATGAGATAAATATGATAGAAATGTATAAATTATTATGTGAAAAAGAGTAATGTGTTGTACATTGACTTAAGATAGTTTAATAGAATGTGAATTAATAATATTTGTCTTAATTTATTTAACTGTAATTTAATTGTAATCTAAGTATTCTTTTATATTCTTTTCGCACGCAGTAAGAAGAAAGGTAATAATTAAAACCAATTAAGACGCAGTATAATTCACGACGAGTACAATATAACATATATTAAACAATATGTTATTATTTGGGGAGATGTACTTACACATGTAATCTGCATAAATTTATACATATATATCGATCTAACGAATGTATGAGCTTTCGCGAAACGGAGGTTCTATATATGAAGAGGAGGAGTGAACAGAAACAATCTTCACTTATGACAATTAGATTCTTGTAATGAAATATTTTAATATGAAAGTTTGTTTTTAAGTTTGTTTTTTTGTCTCTTCCTATTTTTTTTCGTTAATGTCGAGGAAATCGTAAACAATATTACACTAAATTGCTAACTAAGCATACACATAATACATAATAAATTAGGACATAATACATAATACATTTTATCGATAAATGGTAATATTTTGACATACTTTGGCTGACTGTCGTTCGACAGTGTCACAGTATCACGCTGTGATAGAAATGTATAATTGCGTATTATAATGAAAGCGTTCATTGTCATTGGATTGCAGTTATCGGTTGCGTGATCTTATGAATGTATAATAACATGAAAAAGTACATACGCTATGTGTCTACTTATTCTTCTGTACGAATATTTCGCGTCGATCAGTTAAATTTTAGGAGGCGAGATTTATGCTGTGATTATCTTGATCAATTAACTTAGAAATTAAACACTCATTCCGAGATTTCATTTTAAATATATTTCATATTTATCTAATGCTATGTTACAATTATCTGAATCAATTAATTTAGAAATTAAACATTCATCCCGAAATTTCATTTTAAATATATTTAATGTTTATTTAATGCTATGCTACGATTATCTCGATCAATTCATTTAAAAATTAAGCACACATTCCGAGATTTTATTTGAAATACATTTAATGTTTATCTAGTGCTATGATATGATTATCTCGGACAATTAATTTAGAAATTGAACACTCATTTTATTTTAAATATATTTAATGCTTATCTAATGTTGCTACGCGTAAAAGATTCTAAGAACGTGAATGTATCCAAACGAATTTTTAATTGTCACGTTATTAAGTATATTTTTCTGAAGAGAAATAAACTTAATATATAAGAAATAGAGATCAATCATTGATCTCGATCGATTGATTTATACCTTGCATAAAAATATTTTGCGAAATTGAAACTCAGATATTTTATTACTTGCTACATGACATCAATGTCACACCAATGTCATGGTGATATATGCGAATATTCGCTTTATCACAGGTGTTATGTTACTATAACGTCATTATGAGATGAAATTGTTCGACTGGAAATTTCACTTCACAATGATGTCATAATGACATCACACCTGTGATAAAGTGGATATCATGACATTGATGTGACTTTCATTGTGACAAGTGTAATCTTGATGCTATATGAGTTATAATGTATTCGTACCAGAATTAATGTTTCCACATTATTCCACATTAAATTCCGCATTGTCACACTCTCTCCTCCGTTCATACACATATATTTTTCTTTCTCACTAACCTTAATTCTGCACAAATATCCTTAATCTTGTACAAAGATCGATTTTTTGCATTTTGATATTTTTTAACAGATTTAATTTATTATCTTATTGAATAAATATTCTATCTTTAATACTAGTTTTATGAATAAGGAAAAACACGGATATCTTATTGATAATATTTTCAATATGCTGCTCGTATCTTTACGTGCTAACCCAGATAGCACAGAGATGAACAGAAATTCCTAGAGAATTCATTTTAAAGAATAGATATAGAATTAGAAAAATAAATACCCGAAAAATTCGTGAAGAATTAACCACAATAAGTACGTCTTGAAATATTCCTTAGGACTTTATTATAGTGAATACTTCGCGACTTAATTCCTAGAAAACTTTGAAAATTCGTGAGGAATTAGGGCTAAGGCAGAGAACGAGACGTAAGCATCATAATCGTAGACGTAAAGTAAGACAGAGAAAAACGTAAACGTAAGGCTAATAGCCTTTCATGACTTATAGCGAATTCGGTTTGCACTTGTGCGCACTGAGTGCGCACTAAGGCTTGTTCATAGTATGTATTATTATATTTAAAGATTGTTTTAAATAAATTTTCAAATATTTTTAACCATAATATGATATATACAACATTTGTACAAATCATTTTATTAGCTAAAATGTTTTTAAATATGTATTTAAAACATGATCTTAAATATAAGAATATTCTGTAAACAAGTCTTAACGCGCACTCAGTGCGCACTAGTGCAAGCTATTGAATTCGCTATTACGTTTACGTTTTTCTCTGCCTTATTTTACGTTTACAACTACGATGCTTACGTCTCGTTTTCTGCCTTAGCCTTTACAAACATTTTGTTTATAGCAACTACTTTTTGCGTCTATGTTCAGTACATGCCAGTGAATATATAATAATTGATTTACATATTAATTGTTTAATTTATTTTTATTCTCAGTTATTTATATTTTGTGGAATTAATTATATAGTTTTATATAATAGGCAAAGAAAGGGAATTGGTGTTAAAATACTTTTTTATATATAAAATGTTCATTTGTATCAATAATAAATTGATTTATGCGAAATATATTTTATCCTTATATTATATATATTTTATCCTTTAAGTTTATATTCATGTTTCTAAAATCCATATACAGTTCTAACAAACTCAATCGCATTATTTGAAAGCCATTTATTCTTGGATTTTGAATTACATATTTGAAAGTGCGCTTTACTTACATTTGAAGCTCAGTTAGAACAGTATATACCCAGCGAAAAATGATTCGTTGGTTGACGTCAAAATGACATCAAATAGACGTTGAAACCGTCAAACCGACATCAATTTGATATCATTTTAACGTCAATCAATGAATCATTTTTCACTAAGTATATAGATGTCACAAACATGAAGTCTTAAATAGTTCAGTGGAAAGAGCGGTTGTCTGGCAAGCGGAAGGCCCGAGTTTTCAATCCCAGTCGAGTCTGATGTTTTTCATCTCATATGGCATTAAAAGTGGATATCTACAGATACACACAAACACACTCGGC